CAAAGATTAAAATTAATCCACCTTGATATCAATGGATATTTACTCGTTTTTATTTTTATCTCCTTCAATGGTTTTCCTGAACTGAGCTTACCTGTTATACTCTCTCGTCTGCTAATACCGTTTCGGAATTTCTAATAATTATTTGCTCGTCTAAGTCATTCAAATCAGATTAGGTATCAATAATTAATCATTCCTATACACGTCAGATCAATCCGCAATCAATCCGCTATGTCACGCCAGAAGCGAGAAAGAATAGTGCGATTGCATCTGTGCGCGCGAGTGCGTATAAAAAAAAACGCGTAGTCACTTGGCTCCGTGGCTCTCGCAATTTGAAGAAATTATCGCGCGCGACGTTTGATAAAAAGCAAACAGACCTAGCGAGCAATGATAACCGCGAACACGCGGTGTTATTTCGTATCCTTCTCATTCAATGACTGTCTAATCGGCTACTTTATCGAGCCGCGGAAACGACCTGTGACTTTTACGCACGCACGAATTCGAACTACGTATGCACGATACCACATTTTAGAAGCAATTAATCGCGTTATCGTCCCCTTTATAATTTATGAAAAATAGAATCGAGTTAAAAGATTTTGATTATTCCATCCGGCAAAAAATTATTTGTTCGCCAAAAAACATTTATCAATTTAATGTCACTTATTATGAAGATGAGATTATGTTTATTTACAATACTGTTATAATTACCTGTAATATGACGAAGTAAGCAAAATTATTGAATAAATATTGTTTAATGTTTGAATTTTTTAACGATACAAATTGTGTGGATTGAGCAAGAAGCATGCATTCAATTTTTATTATATAATACTAATATATTATTTAATTTAATAAACATATATCTAATATACATTAATTATTAATATTACATTACTATTAATCTGCAATAATCTTAAACAGTAAAAAAACATCTCTTTTTTAATAAAATTTGAAACATTTATATAGATATATTTATTATGAAAAAATATATTAAATTTTAATAAATATTTATATGAAT